CGCATGGTCGGGCTGAGACACACGCACCTGCTCGTCGGCAAGAAGCATTTCTAGTTTTACACCTAAATCCAGTAGATGCGAACCCTCCAAAGACTCAGAATCTTCACCCGAACGTACTTAAGCGTCCTACCTCGAGAAAGATTAGAAAGGTAGATTTGCTCGGACATCTTTGAACGAAAGCACCGCCCAAGACCCTTCAGTTTTCTATTAGGAATCAGAGAGAGATAGAAAATCTCGAAATAAATGAAACAATTGTTTACAGTGCACATACACGGTGGAAATTGAAATAAGCAGTCATAGCCACAAATTTTTAAATTTAAAAAATATCTTTTTCCTAATAACTATTTAAAACATAAGAACAGCAACAAAATAATATTAATAACTATGTGAATCTCTAGATTATACACAAAACAAACTCACACCATATTAAGATAGATAACGCCAATAAGAATAATTAGAACCATCGCTAATATGATATAATGAGTTAGATCGACATAAATTTTTAAAACAGAATATTAATCATTAACTAAATAAAATATATAGAAGCCAAATAAATAGCAACAAATTCAAATAAAATAATTACTCATCATCAGAGTCTTCAAATATAGGCCCCGATCCAAAATTTGGTACGGTTTGATCAATACCAAACACCAAAGGATATGATCCGTATCTATCAACAGATACATCACTACCCTTAGCAATATAACTAAACAACAAATAGATACTGCTGTAACTCCTAGCTTTGCTTCCAATCTCAGTCCTCTACATCAAAAAAAAAAAAAAAAAAAAAAAACCCCAAAAATAAGTAGACAATAGAAAACAAACAAATAATTTAGAAAACACGAAGACATCTATAATAATAGGACATAGGATCTAACAAATACGTAAACTACACACAACATACCTCTTTCAAAATATTCGGTCGCAATGAATACTTCAGCCAACTCAAAACCTTTACAAACAAACAAAACAATTAAAATCATACCTTATAGAATGGTAAGATATTCTGATGTCTATATATACAAGTCATGACACATAAGACAATAAGAGAACAAACATACATGCTTACAAAAGCCCACGCGATCCGTAAAACACGACGGAGCAACAACTCTTCTACGCCAATCCCGTGTGGTCTAAAACATCAGAGAAACAAATATATAAATTAAACATAAAACGATTATTACGTTACATAATAAATACACAAGATTCGACAAAATACCTTATTAAAATAAAACATATCATTCGTGCATCTTCGGGAGAAGGAAACACCAGCGGTTACCTAAGCCAACGGTACGAAATAAGAATAACCCGTAACATTTGATTATCGCGAAATATATATACAAAAAACAAAAGCCAAATCATCATTTAAAAGTTAGAAAATTAATATCAAACTAAAACCGATCCACAATAACCAACATATTAGATACAAATAAGAGAAATACCTGTTTCCAATAAACCGACACAAACCGAGATATGAGTTCATCGAGTACCTTCAAAATCACGGTAAGATGAAAATCAAACAATAAGATGTCAAACCTTGTACATAAACTCAAAACTATTTGACAATTTAATTATAAATCAATACTAAAAAATAAAACGCAATAAAATCGCATATAAAAGTATATACGATAACAGGAAGAAACACATAAATGTATATGGGTAAATAAATATAAAAATATACAAATTAAAACTATAGAAGTACCTCCCCAAACCTCGCTCTTTGCTCGTCAACACCACCTTCGTCAGAAAGCTTTGTCGATGGAACCTCCCACGTTATACAAAACTGAAACACACACCAAAAACAACAAATTAGCAAAACAATAAATCATCGAATAATGCAAAAAAATAAAACAAACAACACAAACAATATGCACACGACCTTTAAAGGTCCATAAAAACAATATTTGCATGACAAACAACTCGATTCATCAGAATCGTAGTAGCTATATAAAAAAACCATAACGGTGAAAACTATCTAATGGCCACAGAAAAATAATACCTAATCCTCTGGCCGATCAACAATATATATAGCTTTAAGATTAGGGCAAACACCAATCATTATCTTAAGAAATTTTACTTTTTAATTAGAAACAAAATCAGAAAACTAACAAAAACGAATTTTAACTGCTAAATTATAGAATTATCCAAAAAATTAACAAATAAATTTAAGCTAAGATTCCATAATCATTAAAGTCGAGATATTATGACCTCCATATCCCCAGCGATCATACTATAAAATAAAAAAAATTAAGGGTGATTAAGACTAATCATCACAAAACACGATTAGACTTATATACCCTTAACAACTAAGAACAAAAATTTTCGAATTAAGGGTGTTTAGGACATTATAATAGAGATCAACACACGATTAGACTTATATACCCCTAATTACGAAGAAGGAGAAATTTCGAGAAGAACAATTCATTAAGGGTGTTTAGGACAAATCATTCTAACTTTTAACCACAGGCCTCCAATGCCCTAACTTTCAATATGGTGCGTTTCTACTTCTCAAATAATTATTGTAGAGATAGTGGCCACCAAAATAGGTTATAAATTATATAGCACCATTTCAAAAATACCAAACAGAAAGAATTCCAAAACCAGATCTAAGTGCAACTACACAAAAGAAAAATAAACCAAAAAAAGCAACTACTTTTGTTTTAAACAACTTCTAAAATAAAACACCAACACATCTGTAACAACAACATAAGAACATAGCACCAACAATCAGATTGAGTTAATCTTTCTTTTTTTTTTCCCAAAATATCTTGCACCAGTCCTCTGTTTTCTACCGTATGAAGTTTCTTAATCTGTATGTCTGAAAAGATATGTGTAGCATACGAATGGCCTCTCTGTAATACTCCCAAGATTCACTTGCAACCGTAATAGCTTCTTGCCCGAAAGGGTTGTTCTTGATGAAATCTTGAACGTTTTCAGCTTCTACCAACTTCTCTAGATGAAGTCTCAGATCACCACCATTACCTGAATTCCATTGAAGCAGCATAAGTATAAATAGGGCAGAAGATTTTCAAGACACAGAACAAAAATGGTGATGCTTCCTATTCACTTAACCGTTAACAAAACCGCAAACTAGAAACCAAACTTATAGCTGAATCAGATGTTTACCTAAGGATGTGTCAGTTTTGTTCTGATGGTTGTATGAATGAGGGAATATTGCTGTATATGGCTGTGACATTCAGATGGTTTATTCAAAACGTTAAAAACATCGATAAGGCAAAAGAATCGATGTATAAATGACTCGAAGAAGATGTGAGGACATCACAAAATAGCTTACCGGGTTAAGCAAAGCCTTGTAAGGAGAATCATCAAGCAAAACCGTGTTGGTTTCGTTGTAATCACCCATTTTCCAAGGAAGTCTTGGGTCATGTTTCTCCCAGAGCCGGTTTAGATCCTTGAACACCACATATTTATGCCTATTTTCAAGGGAACCAACAGTCGTTGTAGCACAATAAGACATGTCCTGTAAAAATTAAATCCCCGAAAAATCGATGAAAATTCAATATTTACTCGTTTCAAAAACAGGAGAGTGCATGGCAAGAACCAACTTACCCAGCAAAACAAAAGTTTATTCTTCAAATCACCAAGCAAGAACTCAGTGATTCTTACAACATTATTCCTGCAAGCAAATAAAAGTCATATCGATTATACACACAGATATGGAAGTAACAATTATATGATCTTATAAATATGAGTAACGTCTTACTGTTTTCTCGATGACCAGATACCAACTTCAAATTTGTCAAAACAGAACTTCAAAAACTCATCACAATAAGGTCTCTTAAAAACTGTCACAAAAAAAAAAATGCAGACTAATAAGTAAAACTATCAACTAAAGTATTAATGTGGACTCACAAGTAAGTAACAATGAACAAAAAGATAATGAAACTCACTTGCTCTTCTTCCAATATTAATGTCCGCTGGAACATCTTTTAGAGGAGTAACTATATCAGCAAGCAACCCATTAAGATCAAGTACAAGAAGTTTTTTCTTTAAGACCGATGAATTTGATCCGCTCTCGCCTCTGATTCCACTCAAAGCAACACAAGAATCGTTGTTCACTACCACGGGAACTTCATCACTTCTTGTACCACCCGATATAACAGAAGCTTCTTTATTCTTTTCCACCTCTAAAACTGGAAGCTTTCCTATAGTTTCACCACCCGAAACAACATCTTTTCGATCTGCCAAACTCAATACGGAAACTTCTTCTATCTTTCTCTCATTCGATTCAACTTCGCCATTCTTGCGGCTTCCATCGCCTGATGCAACAGGAGTCTCAGTCTTCTCTTCAACATCTAACAAAGAAACTTGTTCATTCCCATCAACCGCTGTTTCGTTTAGCGACAACATTGGAAGCTCGTAACAATTCTCTACCTTATCAATCACTCTAGCTTTCTTAATCAGAGGTTCCTCTTCAACAGAATGTTCAATTGCTCTCATACTAAACCCCAAAAACTCAGAATTTGCATCACTAAATTACTTCAACCTAAAACTGTGTAACAAATTCAAAGAGAAGAAAATCAAGAACAGAGTAAACTTATTCAGAATTCATAAAAATAAATAAACCTTTTGATTTAAACATTAAACAACTTGATTAATTGAAGATAATGCAATGTTAAAACCACAATTCACCTTTAATGATTAATAATCTAAGACTTTGCAATAACAATTTTCGTACATGAATGTCTGTATCATTACACAATTGATCGATCTGGATTTGGTTGAGTTAATTCCGTACAAATTCTCCGATCAAAAAGGAACAATTACAGTAAAAAAACTTACCGATGAATTTGGAGAGGAAGAACAAAAGTCGGAGACAGAGAGAACTCAAAAGTTGACCTTTTCCCAGAGAATTTGGAGTGGGAGAGAATTTAAGGATCTGAGAGCATATGAAACGACAGGTTTTTGATGTCGTTTGGTGTTCCCAAGGATTTTTTGCAGAGAGACAAAGTGGCTTTAGACGTGACTTTGTGGGATCTTTAGATCTCGTGATGTAAATTTCAGGTCGGGTCGGATCTTCGGAGCTGGGTTTAGTTAATTTAATTTAATGAGCAATGCTAATGAATTATAATGTCAATTGAACATACATTTTTTATTTTTCACTAGAACATGGAAGTTTTATTAGAACTGAAACCAGAAATTACACACGCCGGCAAAGTTCGAGATGACACTTTCCGGATACAAAGCCGGCAAAGCTCAAGAAGACACTTTCTGGACACAAAGCCGGCAAAGCTCGAGATGACACTTTTCGGACACAAAGCCGGCAAGATACGAAACCTTCCGGAACCAAAGCCCCACACACAGGAAAACATTAGACCCAAAAAGGGCACGGTCATAGACCCACAAAGGGCACAACGATAAAAGATAAAAACTAATTATACAATCTGAACAAAGGAGCTAAACAAACAAATCCACAAATTGTTTCAGATTTCTTCTTTTTGCCAATTGAATCCGAGATCGGAAGCTATCTTCTAGTCTTCTTTCTTCACCTGAAGCTATCTTCTGGTCTTCTTTCCTCACCTGATAATATAAAGACTTCAAAATTTAAAATTTTGAGCATCCTTAAGTCGGCAAAACGGTGAAACCTCACTAGAGGCTTGACAACACCGTATATGGAAGCCTGGGCCGGAATAATCGAGCAAAGCGACATAGATCCAGTAAGAGGAGCCAAGAACTGATCAGATCTCGTCCAGATCTGAGAGTTAGTTCGAGTGGAGGAGACTTAAAATTAGGCCGCCCAAAACCGATTCACCACCCACTGCAAGAACCAAGGATGGCTACGGGTCGACACGGTTAGAGCCATGGAAACTTTTGACGCTTGGGAGAAGAAGAGACAATAGTAAAAACGAAAGCTCTCTAAATTCAGATCTAAAACTAAAACAAACTGAAGCCGGACAAAACGAAAATAAGCTGGAGACAAAAGCAAGACAAAAAGCCGATTCCGACGCTGTGAAAGCCGCCCAAAGCCGGAGATCTTAACGAAGAAAGCTTAGAGAGAAGGCACATAAAATTTTAAAAAAAGAGAAAGTAAATTGATTAGTTTGTTTGGTTTAGCTTAATTGAATTGAACATACATTATGTATCAAATAATTAATAGGAATATTTTTGTTTATTCAAAAATAATTGGAATTTATATGAACTAAGCCTTTAAATATCTAAAAATTATTGAATAAAATAGAAAATTTATGTTTTAGATTAAGGTGTTCAATCCGGTTTTGTTTTTGATTATTCGATCTCTCGATTTTTCGGTCTATAAGTAAAGGTATCCAAAAATACATGGTTGAATTTTTATATAATATTTTGCAATGATATTTATATGAATGTGATTTACTTCGATACAAGTTTTCTCTCTCGACATGTGTTCGTCTAGAATTTTTTTATTGCATTCATTTTTACGTTTAAATAATAACTTATTTGGTAGTATATTTTAATTTATTCTAACGGATGAGATGCTAAGACTATCCGCAACGCAGGTTTCTTACAACATTTTTAAGATTAAAATATTAAAAAGAAATAGAAAAAGAAGAGAGAACAAGAGATGTACTTGATTTAAGGTATTTAGAGCACCTCCAACGGAGGTTTTTCAAAGGATGTCTAAAGAATTTAAAAAAAAAAAAAAAAAAGTAAAAGAGAGAATGAGAAACATTTCTCATTTGAGAAACTGTGTCTAACATCTAACATCATTTGATTGGTTAAAAAAAATTTTAATTAATAAAAATTTAAATAAATAATTTATTTATTACAAAAGCATTAAATTATTATATTTGAGAAACTTCTATAGTTTCTCACCGTTGGAGATGTTCTAAAGCTATTATACTAAAAATTTCTCTTCTTTCCTTTTTCTGTCTTTTAGTGGCCTGTTTGTTTTAGGGCTGGGCATTCGGGTACGCGGGTCGGGTTCGGGTAAAACTCGATCGGGTACGGATCCTTCGGGTAGAGGAGTTTAGGACCCAATAGGGTAAATCTAAAATATCGGTTCGGTTTCGGTTCGGATCCAATCGGGTTCGGGTCGGTTCGGGTTTAGAATTTCAGAACCGCTAAATACCCGAAAAGTTTGGATACCCATCGGGTTCGGGTATATTATACCCGATTATACCCAAATAACCGAAATTTTACTCTAATACCAGAAATTTTACACAAATACCCGAAATTTTTACCCGAATATCCGACTTTTAATCGAAATTTTATCCGAATAATCGGAATTTTGTCCAAAAATCTGAAAAACTTACAAATATCTCGTGTATAAATATATTTAGTCTTATGTATTTAAATATAAGTGCATTTAGTTTTTGGTAATTACTCTAGCATATTTGGATATAAACTTATTTAACTCGAATATTAGATATATATAAAATTTTATATGTATAAGTATATGTAATTTCGGGTAATCGGGTACCCGTTCGGGTATCGGGTTCGGATCGGATTTTACCCTATACCCACGGGTACGATGATACAAGACCCAATAGAGTAAATAGCTAATATCCGTACCCGCCCCGAACCGATTTTTTCGGATCGGTTTCGGTTTGGGTTTTCGGGTCCGGGTTTTTTGCCCAGATCTAGTTTTTTTTAATATTAAAATACTAATATTAAATTATAAGAAACTCAAAAATCGATAATACAGACAAGAAGGAATACCTCCTCAGATGTTCAAAAACGTAATTGCTGCGAGCTACGCAGAATTCTCTTCTATGAGACAGAAGGTGAAAACCATGTCTTTTTTGAATGTTTAGAGTTTTATTTATTTTCTAACTTGTATTTGAACGATACTCCTTTTAGGCATCAATTGGAATCAGATATGTTTCAAGATTAGGGTGATTTCATGATATATTAATTTTCAACCAATTTCCCTTACGATGATTTACAGACTTTGAATGGAATTAGAAGATCCTTTTGTGTGGCCTTGTCCTTGATGGCTTTTTGTTGCTTGTCTACTATATAGTGTTTAAATTCTTCTCTTCAAGTTATTAAGGGTTTTCTGCAAAACAACACTCTAAGTCAATTTTGTTTGCAAATTTACCCTCCAAATCCGAATTTTGCAAGTCAACTCCACAATCTCAAAAGTCACCCGCAATACTGCCCTCCCGTGTAGCGATGACGTGGCACTCGATAATTCCGTTTGAAAACATAAGGAGTTTTTGTTAAAAAAACTCTCCATGTAATTTTTTTTGCAAGACAAACCTCCATTTCAAATAAGTGCAGGTCAAACCACAATCTCAAAAGTTACCTGCAATATAGCCCTTTCGTATATCGATGACGTGGAAATCGATAACTCATTTTATGTAATGTAGAACTATCATGCATCTCGAGGTTCAACTAGGTTAATTCCTCCTTAGCTAAGGAACGTTCCTTAGCTTATTAAGGTATTAACTATTTAATTTAAATCACTTTAATACCTAAGAGGTGCCACGTGTCACGTTTTGATTGGGTGGATTTCACATATTTTACAGATACGCCTTCTAATTTCTTCGATAATAGAGCTCGAGTTCGTGATCGAGGTATGCATCAACAATTGAAGAATGTTTTGGTCGAGCATATATGGACAAAATATAGAAGAAATTAAGTTTAAAATATTTGTGATTTATGTTATAAATTGTATCTCATGTATGTTTTAATTTTTTTAATTTGCAACAATTATTAAATTTTCTATAATTATAAATTTTATTTTTATATTAATATTTTTTTTTCTAAGAACCACATATTAAAAATCTACCATTAATCACACAAAAATCTTAACTCAAAAATACTATCTCTTAACAATCACTTTTACAAATAAATTATTTAAATATTACTAAGATTTATCTCTAAGAAACTAATTATAATGATGCTCTAATAAATCTTAAGACAAAGACTTAATCGTACAAAAATTAATAAGTTAATTTTCCTCGTGGATAGACAAAAGTAACACTGGTCAACATTTTCCACTAACTTTTTAAACACTTTATACTTATCCTATCATTGCATACATATTGCATTGCGAGAGAATTCACATGCTATGTGATGATGATAGCTTAGCATCTACATATCTTGATATATTATTACTTATATGCCTCGGGATCTGATTCTCCTAACTCAAAACTACTTTGATATACTCCCTCCGTTTCAGTTTAGTTATCGTTTTAGGATTTAAATTTTGTTTCATAATAATTGTCGTTTTAGGTTTTCAATGCAAATGTTTGGTGAAAATTCCAGTTTTATCCCTACTGTTTTAATGTTTTGGCCAATGATTTTTTTTATAAAATATATTAATAAAGGGTAAAATAGAAAATTAAATGCTTTTCTTAATTTGTGTGAAAAAACCTTAAACGACAACTAAAACGAAACGGAGAGAGTATTATATAGTGGTGGTCCAAACAAAATTTTGATCTTGTGATGATCATATTTTGAATAAAAGTGTGATTTATTAGTCTTTTTTTTATGTTTCCTTGATGAATGAAACTCAATGTGCAAGAGTGCTTTCTCGTAAGTGGATAGCCACGAGAAAGTTACACTCGCAATTAAAAACATTTGTAGTGATAGTTATATGTTTTCCATTACTTTTGGTTAAATTTACCATTTTCAAACACGTATATAAGAGTTCAAAAATAAAATAGTAAGTAGATGAAGTTTCAGACTTAATTTATGTAGAAATTTGGATAGTAATTATCAATTGGTTTTTACCGAAAAGTAAAACAACGATTAACTAGTTTTTCACTTGAGATCAGTGATTTCAACTTTTTATCTCTCTCTTTATTAACATCTTTACATTTTATTTTGGGTAGGATATTAACATCTTTACATTAGTAATTGGGTTTAATAACTTAAAATTCCACTTGTAAATTGATAGAATTTATTCGGTGTTAAAATGTAAATTCAACCAAGAGACCAAGAAAATTCTATTCAGAGTTGAAATTCATATTAATTACGGATTTAAAACTTATGAATACTCCATCTTGTTACTACTTGACTCATGTTGTATCTGGCAGTATTAAATTTTAAAGAAAAAAAAGTAGATAAATATAAAATTTTCTTTTAGCATATGTAAAACCAAAAACGGACACTATTTAATTTGAGAACGTAAATAACACCAAATTATCTAATTTTTAACTATGTGTAAATTTTATTATAAGATTGTAATATAGAATTAAAATTTTAAACTTAAATTTTATTTGACCCCTATTTTGAAATATGATAATATTTGAATCTATAAAACAAATTAAAGATCTACCACGTGTACAAAACTAAAAATCATATTAAGCGTTTGTGGTGGTTACTAAAAAGTAAAAACTAAGTAATGTAAAATAAAATTTAATAAACGGAACTACGTATTCCTCTTATGTCATTTTGTTATTGGGAAAATGTTATCAAAATCCCCAACTTGTTATTGAAAACATGATTTAAATTTTCAACTCCCAACCAAACGAAATAAATATCAAACTTATGTTGACCTTCCAACTAAACAATAAATTTTTATTGATCTGGTAATATTAGACATAATGTTAAGTTAGTTAACAGATCCCTTTAACGAAGTTAATATTCTGTTGATAGACCCATTAATTGAAAACGATAATGTTTCCTCTAACGACTAAACGACGCCGTTTAATCGTAACGGCTCAATTAAAGACGATTATTTTTTAGTAATACACGATTTTCGAATTACTAAAAAAAATGATTATTTTTTAGTAATACACGATTCTTATTAAGATTGCATGTGAATTCTTTTTAAAAAAAATTCTATTTAGATTAATTTTTACATAACAATGTTTTTTCTTAAAAAAACACTACGTAACAATGTTTTTTCTTAAAAATTCACTATGTTTTTTGAAATATCATGTCTTTTAGTCAAATATAACATACGAAATTTAAATGGTACATGCTATTTTGAAAAATCTCACGAAACTGTCTCGCATATCGTTGATCTCGCAACAAACAAAGGATAGTTTTGGTATTTCACATCATTCGACAACGTGGATCCATGGCTATTTTGCAACAAAAACTTTTTCTCTGCTATTTTCATAATTTGAGTGTTTTATTCGGCTATTCTCTAATATTACCCATAAATTTATACGTTTATAGGTCACTTTCCTTTTTAACAATGGTCCCTCTTTAGCCTCACGGTTAATAGACTCTCCGAGAAAAGTCATTAAAAAGTTGCCAGCTTCTTCATTCCACTTTCTCTCCACCACTTTCACCTGAATCCCACGTCACTCTCTCTCTAAAACTCCATAAAGCTCAAACCTTTTGTCATTCTCTCTCTCGAAAACTCACAATCTTTTTCACACTCTTCTTCATGTTCAAGCAATGGGAAATCTCTGTTCTTTGTTTACTCCGCCAAAACCCGTGAAAAAACGAAAACCCATCACAAAAAGACAATCTTCCATTGGAGTTTCTTCTTCCGGGTCGGGTCTTAATAGTAACCGTTGGAACAACCGGGTCAGATCATCTTCTTCTAGAAGAGACAACAAGTTTGAAGATGCTGTGATTCAAGAACATGCTCTTGCTGCTGCTGCTGTTTTGTTCCGACAGCAAAACGGCGGTGGATCGTTGCCGTTTGATCGGTCGGCTTCGCAACGTTATCAAGGTTCTTGTTCGAAGAAGAATCAGTTGCCTCGAAGCTCAAGTTCGAGGTCAAGGTCTTCTACGGATCCTCTGTTACAACCTCATCAGTTTCTTAATCAGGTTCTTTTCTTCTTCTTGATTCTTACATTGCTTTGACTTCAATAATGATGTGTATTGATTAGTTTTCTTTCTTGGCATTAAATGAAGAATCTTGAATTCTTGGTTGCTCAACTTATTTTAGTGGTTACAAAGCTATGTGAGTCTTTTATAGTATAGTTTCTTTAATTCTTGTTGGCTCAACTGATTTTAGATGTTGAGTCTTGAAACTTCCTGACTTTATTTTTGTTTCATTGATTATTGTCAATGGTGTGAATGTGGTGACAATGAGATTATATTGTTACATAGAGGTAGACGATTTCGATGTCGAGGTTGAGAGTATTATCTTAATCAAAATTCAAGCTTGAAACACTATCTTCATGTGTTGTTGTTTTTCTTGTGGGGCGAATCGAATCGATCATTTTGTGGGCTAGAATGTCTTAATGTGGGAAATATAGTCAAAATTACTGTCGAACGCTCTAATGTGTGTTCGATTTGCGGGCCTATCTTTCGTGTAGAGCTGTCCATGTATAGTGTTTTTGACAATTTGTTCACCTTAATCTTGTATAGATGGTTCAATTTGTGTTTCCCCTGACAGCCAAACAAATAAACCTCACCGTCCTGCAAATAGGAAATGTTTCATTCTTTATGTGGAAGTTAAATTCTTTTTATTGGTCTTGGAATAGGGTGTGAAGGTAGATGACTTGGAGACAAACCATTTTGTTCTCATCCATGGAGGGGGTTTTGGTGCTTGGTGTTGGTATAAAACCATTGCACTTCTTGAGGAAGATGGTTTTAAAGTTACTGCTATAGACTTAGCTGGTTGCGGTATTAACTCGATTAATATAAATGGCATTGCTAGTTTGTCTCAGTATGTGAAGCCACTTACCGATATTCTTGAAAAGCTTCCCATAGGAGAGAAGGTTCTGTTTCTATTTGCCTTCGACTTCTACTCTTTTCCCTCTACTTTCCGAAAACTGGAACTCTTTCCTTGTGTGTAAAATTGCAGGTGATCTTGGTTGGTCATGATTTTGGTGGAGCTTGTATATCTTATGCTATGGAAATGTTTCCTTCAAAGATTTCGAAAGCGGTTTTTCTCGCTGCAGCGATGTTGACTAATGGTCAAAGTACACTCGATATGTTCTCCTTGAAGGTTTTCTTTCTCACTTATCTTTTCCCATGTTTCAAGCTTTGTGCCGCGCCAGAGACTAATTCTGTTTACGACACACTTTGCAGGCCGGTCAGAACGATTTAATGAGAAAAGCTCAGATATTTATCTACACAAATGGTAATGAAAACCCTCCAACCGCCATTGACTTAGATAAATCTCTTCTCAGAGACCTTTTGTTCAATCAAAGCCCTTCAAAGGACATTGCATTGGCCTCTGTTTCAATGAGGTCAATCCCATTTGCGCCGGTTCTTGAGAAACTCTCTCTCTCAGATGCTAACTACGGATCAGTTAGACGGTACTACATAGAGACGCTAGAAGACAATGCTATTCCAATGACTGTCCAAGAAAACATGATTAATAGTAGTCCACCTGAAAAAGTTTACCGGTTAAAAGGCGCTGATCATGCTCCTTTCTTTTCTAAGCCACAAGCTTTGCATAAACTTCTGCTCGAGATTGCCAGAATCAGCTCTACTTAACCCTAAGTAGCTTCACCATTATTCACTAACTGGTGTTCTAAAGTGGCTTCATGAGATCTCTCTTCCTTTTTAGTTTTTTTTTTTGTTTCATTTTGTGATTTTGTTTCTGTATCTTTTGTTGGTTTTTATCATGATTATTTTCTGTCTTTCTTCTTCTTGTTCTGTTTTTACCAGAAATAAAATGTTTATAGAAAAATCAATATACTTGCTATGGGACATGAAATTAAAATTTGTTTTATTGTAACCAGATGATCATCAAGATCCTGAAGAATGGATCTTCCAATTCATCAAGAAAGTTTCACTGATTTGCTTTCTTTATTCAGTTGCTCTTATCGACATAACTCCTTGTGTATGTGTGTGAAGGTGTTTAGGATAAAATTTTGGCTTGCATATGCAAAAGGATAATAAGAAAAAATTTCAACAAATTAAACATTACTTTCACACTTTACATTTTTGAAAGTCAATGCAAATTGCAACTCCAATCCAAAGTGAAAGCAATGGGCCTAAGATATATCACAACCAAAGTGATAATATATGTAGAGGCCACTATATATGTTAATTTGTATATCTTTCTTTATTCATGAAAACAATACAAAAGGAATCATTTCTAAATGAGGTAAACTTATTTTAAAAAGCTAAACGTAAAATAAAACGATATGCTAATGCTACCTAATATATCATTGAGCTTCAAAAAAATCAAAAACCAAAATTTTTTTAGAGTAACTGCAATCATATTTCTTGACTATAAGAAAAAAAATGGTGAAATCAAAGAAATAATAAACATAATAAATTGATCTCATGAGTTTTAGTGTTTGGAGGTTTAATGACTCGATCCAGAACCATGAGCTTAAAAGTAACGGATTCAAATTGTTAGTAAAGAGCTTGCCAAACTAAACGGAGCTTGATGATAACAAATAGAAGCTGTGAAACTTGAAGATCTCTTATCATATCAATTAAAGAAACTTTTTTTCTATGTATCTCATCAATTTGCACCACCGAACCCAAAAATTGCAGCTATACAAGAAGCTTTCTAAAGGTCCAAAGACTTGTTTTGAGCTAGATTATTCAAGGCAAAACCAATACTTTCCATTTTAAAAACACAACTGAATTCATTTTCTCTTGGTTTAGTCCCACTAAAGAAACCGAATTTAAGTTGAGCTAAAGACCTCGACAATACTCATGGGTGTGTATAGCCACTCACCAGATTTGATAATAGACCTAAAGGCCAAAGTGTAGCACCATTTCAACATACAAATGTTAATAAAAGAGATCTAATGAAAATCAAACATAAGGGTAAGGGAATTGATACCATACTTTCAAGTCTTTTACCACTAGACTAGCTACTACTACCAATTAGTTAACAAGAAAATCTAGACTTTGTAACTCATCAAAGTAAAAAACGAAATCATTAAAAGATAGAATGGTCGCAGGTTATACAAACAAATTGAAAAAGAAAACTTCATAGTTTTGTTTTTACTAATTCATAACTAAGAAAATAGGATCCAATTTTTACAAGGGTATCAAAACATACTCACCGCTACTATATAATATTTGAAGTCAATTCCCAACTGCAATTATTAGACCAACAAGACAATAATTCATAAATCTAATAAACAATGTTGCATAAAGATATATGATGAGAGGGTTATTGTTATGTTCTTCCTCTCAATACACATCTCCAAAGTCTTACCTTTAGACATGGCCAAATCATTTTTCTCTGTCTCCTTCTTCTTCACCGTCTCTCTTCTCTTTCTCCTCACGGCGGCTTCAGCAACCGCATTTGCAGAGAACGTTACTAGTGAGTTGAGATATGATGGATGTTCTCCTGGAGACACCGTTGGAGAATGCATAACCGCGGCGGTTGAGGATGATGATGAAGGAGTTGAGGCGTTGGTGCGGCGGATTCTTCAACAAAAAAGGTATTTAAGCTACAAAACTTTGCAGAAGCAGCCGACTTGTGATGGAAGAATTGCCGGTAATTGCATAGGAACTGTTAATCCAAAAGGTTCAACTTGTACTTACTACCAAAGATGCAAACGTGCCGCCTAGTTGTTTCTTTGTTTTTACAATTGTATTTTTTCTATGTAAACTGTTTCTTCTTAATAATGTGTGTTTTATTTATATGTAAAGGAATTTTTTTATTAAAATGTAAAAGAAATTAAAGCAACAATAAGAAAGTTGGTCGGTTGGAAAAAAAGTGTTGATCAAGTTCAATGCATAGAACGTTTCTATATATATATGTGTATAAGAACTTTTCAATCTATTTAAGAGTTTAAAACATGTTATGCAAATGCAACCGGATATCCATTAATTGCGAGATTGACAATAGCTATTAAAATACAAATTCGTACATAACTAAAAAGAAAACTTTGCAAATGAAAATTAAAAATACATATACATGAAACAAAAAACAATAAAATTAAAGGAAATGAGATTACTTATATATGCATATAAACAAGGCCTAATATGGATAAATATTCGAACCTACAGTACTATTACTTTGTTTACTTGAGATCATTTTATGCGTCTATTGTTTTGCAAAATTGTTTTGACGCATATATAATATATATATATATATATATATATATATATATATATATATATACAATTAATTGAGAATCATTAGATATTAAATAACCTTATGAAGGGTAAAATATTACATAAGATGCCATTGTTTTTTAGTGTTTTTAAATAAATTCATTAAGGCTACAATAGTAATCACAAAATTAATATATTTAAATTAAAATAGTAAAATTCTTTTAAGTAATTATTAGTTTCCAAAGAATTATATTCACATTCTCTCTCTTATTAATTATAGACGAAAATTTGTAATTAATTTCTAAAAAATTGTTAACCAATGAGAATCGAAAAAGTAAGATTTGATATCCAACTAAGATTTTATCTAAACCAATACCATTACACTATTCTATATATAAAAAAAGTAATATTATTTTAGTTCAAAATTAAAAACACTATCGTTTAAAACATTTTATCAATGAAAGATTTTAAGTTTGAATTTTAAATTTCGTAAAAAACTCAAATACAAATATTTTCACAAATTTTCACAAATTTTGAAATATAAAACGAAATTTTATTCACAATTTGTAAAAAACGATATTAGATATTAACAAATATTTATATTAACTATGAAATAAACTCAAATAATAATAAATTTAAAGTAATTATCATTATGATCTTCGTTTAGAGCAAGTTTCGGAAATATCTAATAGGGAAATTGTTAAAAATACCTCTTTTGGTGTGCCCTTTTTAGATGTCCATTTTCAAAAATGCCCCTTTTAAAATCTGAAATTTTTATAAAGTTTTATTAGGTTTATAAGGTACTTATAGATTGTAACTACTACTTGAAGACTCGATCCAAGTATTTATATGGTTTTATAAGGTGTTTTTAAAGGTTTTACAAGTTATTTTAAAGAATTTTTAAAGTTTTTCAAAGGTTTTACAAGATATTTTAAAGGTTTTTAAAGGTATTTAAAATGCATTTATAAGGTATTTATAAAGTATTTATAAGATTTTAGATACATAGAAATGTAGTTTGTGTATGTTTTAATAATATTACATACATATTTGGGTAAATCTTATATTTTTAAGAACATTTTTTATAAGGTTTTTAAAAAGGAGTATTTTTGAAAAGTGGCATTGAAAAAGTGGCATTTTTGCAAAAGCCCCTATATAAATTGTACATATTAATTTTGAAACATTTTGTGTTTTATTTTTTACTTTCCAACCGAATCTTCCTTGAATAAATCCATAATATACTGCACACAATTTTCGAAATAATGTAAACTAATTATATATTTTGTATTTATGCAGCAATAGCATATTCCTTTTATAGATGTATCTCAAATTTTAATTTTTAGTCCAAAAATTGAATTAATGATGATTAAACAATGAAAAGAAGAATATGCAAAATTTAGCTAAGGAAAGAAACATTAATAAATTTGTTAAAATATACATTAATAAACATTAACAGCATACATATTAATCCGCAAAACTCACATTATATATTATATGGTATTTAAAGGTAAGCAAACAAGAATTTGGAACAAGATTTTAATGGAATAAAATGAGAATATGAATTACTAGACGGGATGAGAGGGGAACATAAACTAAAAATCAAACTAAATACCAAATTGGTATGAGTTCGGATTATGAGCACTATATAAAATAAATTTGTTTACACACATAACTCTGTACGTACGTTTTCAGTTACACATATTCTATTTATTACGAATACAGGACCGTAATATTTTTATTTCACGTATACGAGACTGGTTATGAGACCAAAAATATATGACAGATACAGGACGAGATAGGTTTCCCGTTCCAAAATAGTTACGCCTAACTAATATACATGAAATAACTCAAACTAAAACCGAATCCATTCATATTTAACACATGTAATCAAAATGTTAGAAATATTTTAATTATATATAGTTTAGAAAATAAAATGGTAACATCACTTAACTTTTGCAACTAAATTATATCTTAATTTTATTTTAAATATAATTTTGCAAGTACGTATATGTCTGGATCTTAAAATGTAACTATGTACTAACGCAACTGAATTTCGTTCATTACTCTAATTTTATAATATCTATACTATTACAAAGGTCACTAACACAACAAAATATTTTCTATTTTTAAAATCTATATAACAATTTCTAAAAAAATAGCTTTGCACGTCCGTGTAGATCATGATCTAATACACTAAAATATATATCACAAAAATAAAAAAGTAATCTATATTAAATTAAAATTTGTTAAAAAAATTTAAAATATGAAACTCCGCACGTACGTGCGGGTCATGATCTAGTATATATATTATATATGGAGAAAGTACACTGCCAAATCTGGAAAAACTCTTAAAATGATTTTAACTAATGAGAAAGAAAGTTTCCAATAAGTTAGGTTAACTGAAACTTATTTTCTCATTATCTAAAAGACTAAGACCATTTCCATTGGTTTTTTTTAAGAAGTTCTTAGCATTAATTTTTATAAAAATTAAATGAATAATTATTTTAAATCTTGAGAACCAGCTATTATATAATAGCCAAATAACCAGTTCTTATCGTTAATTTTTAGTATTTCTCTATATTCTTCTTTTTGAGAACCCGCAAAATTCGACCCAAATTCGAAACCGAAAATTTAGATTTACCCTATTGAGTCCTAAACTCATATACCCGAAAACTCGAACTCGAATGTAACTCTCCGATTTCAGGAATATGGTGGTGCATGCGGAGAGGTTTATAAGAATTTATTTGGCCACCTATGTCACCAAAGTGTACTTATCTTTTCGGTCAACTTTCCTGAGAGAACTCCACAGTTAAGCGTGCTTGGGGTGGAGTAGTTTCAGGATGGGTGACCTTCCAGGAAGTGATTGTCGGAACTGTGTGAGTGAGGACAAAACACAGGGAAAGATCATATGGTGATTTGTAGGGTCGGTAAACAAGTCTTTAAAGCCTCCCGGACGTAGCGGACCGGCCGTCGGACAGGGGTGGGCCCATGGGCCGAGAGAGAACGTAGGGCCCAATGGTAGGGGCGGTCGGGACGTTACAAGTGGTATCAGAGCCGAACTCAGTCGAGTGTGGAGTCAAGAGGGCTTACACCGTCGGGGGTTACGGTCTTGGTGCGCAACGAGAACGTTGCGATCTATTAGTGGGGGTGAATTGTAACATCCCGATTTCAGGAATATGGTGGTGCATACGGAGAGGTTTAAAAGAATTTATTTGGCCACCTATGTCACCAAAGTGCACTTATCTTTTCGGTCAAATGTCCTGAGAGAACTCCACAGTTAAGCGTGCTTGGGCTGGAGTAGTTTCAGGATGGATGACCTTTGTCGGAACTGTGTGAGTGGGGACAAAACACAGGGAAAGATCATATGGTGATTTGTAGGGTCGGTAAACAAGTCTTTAAAGCCTCCTGGACGTAGCGGACCGGCCGTCGGACAAGGGTTGGCCCATGGGCTGAGAGAGGACGTAGGGCCCACTGGTAGGGGCGGTCGGAGTGTTACAAGTGACGAGTTTGTGTTGTTGGTTGGTTAAACGAGCTCAGTTTGAGCTGAAACTTTGCAGGACCTTTCATGACCCATGCAATAAGGTCTTGGTTAATGGACCATAGTGGAGCTAAAGATCATGTGGTTTCAGTTAAGATATTAAGTTTGTCTAAAGGAGAAAGGAGACAAGAGATGTCCTTCATCTTCAGCTAGGCTAAGGTGAGGGTGATATTTGCGGATATGCAGTAACCTCTTTCTTTATATACTCTTTCATAGTTGCTGAGTATAGGCTCGAGAATCGTCTTTGGTGATTTATGTGAATTTGTGTGTATGATAAAGTTAGGTTGTTAGTAACATGATATGTGAAATGCATTAGTGACATGACTTGACACTATTTTTAACGTATATTAAATTATAAAAAGGAATAAGTATATATATATATATATGAAAAGAGAAAACTAAAGAGTATGTGAAGGATACTCGAGGAGGTTGGACTGTAATGGACCAACGGGTTCATATACATGTCATTAACCGCTGACGAGCAATAAGGGGAAGGATCGAACTACGGGCCGTAGTCTTCCAGAAGTAGGCTTGACTAGCCATGATTTTATAGAGGCTCGAGTATCCATAAGTTAAAGATACTTAAACTAAAAAAATGAAAGTAAAATATCTTGTTTTGAGCAAGACGAACGCATGTTTGTTTGATTGATAGACCTTCTGAATCTATGCTAAGTAATAATTATTGTTTATGTTTGGAACGTGATTACTGTATGTCCAGTGGGCAGAGTTGATCTCCTCACTGAGTAAACTTGTTTTACTCACCCCTTTTCCCCCTTTTTCCAAGTTAGTAAGTTTCATGAGTTGCGGGTTGAAGTTTGTTCGTTGGTGAATTTTAGAGAAAAAAACGTTTTGGCAAGACCGGATGAATAACATACAGTCTCATCCTTTGTGGCGGGACGGGTGTTACACCAAACCCAAACCCGAATATACCTGAATGTTTTATTCGAAACTCGAAATTTTACTCGAAATTTGAATTTTTAACCGAAAACTTGAATATTTACCAAACAAATCGGGTATTTATCCAAAACCCGTCCGAAAACCCAACAATTTACCTGAAAATTTATATAGCGGGTATTTAGCGGTTTTGAAAATCTATACTCGAACCCATCCGAATCCGAAAAGACCCGAAGAAAAACCGAACCGATTTTTTTGTTTACCCTATTGGATCCTGAACTCCTCTACCCGAAAGATCTGTAACCGATTTTTATTTACAATAATTATTAAATTTTCTAAAATTAAAATTGTTAATTTAATTTCATTTTAAAATTAATAATTTTTTTAAGAACCTCAAATTAAGAACTTACCATTGAAAACACATAAAAATTTAAAACCAATAAATAATCTCTTAACTCTAAACTTTAAAAAATTTAATATTAAACTAATGGTAAGAGCCAATATTAGCATAACACCAATAATGTTGCTCTAAGACCATTTCAAGAGTAAATTTGAGAGGTAAATTAATTACCAAAAAACTTATTTTTTTTTTAATACTCGAAAAGCAAAAAAATAGCCCGTTAAGTAAACTTGTAGTAAATTGACTAAATTCAACAAAAACAAGATATATGGCCCGGATTTGGCCCAATTCATGAATTTGAAGCCCATATATGAAATATTTGGAGAAATTTTCACGTTTAAAAGAGAAAATAAACAAATTGACAAAAGGTGACGCGGCTTGTGACGATGAGGCAATTTTATTATGATATGCGGTGACGCTTTTATCCCTGACAGACAAATGAAAACTTACGAAAATTAAGGTTCTAGATTCTGATGGACCCAGCTAATATACAAACGTTGCCGTCTTTTTCTCGGAACAACTGTACTTTGCAAATAGATTAGTAGCTGTTGATGAAAACCACTAAATTGAATTATTCATTTTTTCAAGTCAATAAAAAATATTTTCTTGTAACTCTTGTCTTGTCTTCGTTTTCGCTTTATTTTATTGGATTTATTTGATCCCTTGAAATTTAGCCTTATTCAATAACAATTATTTTAAATAATATTGACCAATAAAAAATCTTCACAGTATTTGATAAAATAATTTTTACTGTTTTCCATAGAAGTAGATATTCGATTATTCGGTTCAGTTTGGTTTGAGATACTCAAATTCTAGATTTGGAAATTTTAGAAAATAAATTTATTTTGAAATATAATTTATTTTTGGTTCGATTCGATTCAGATTAAGTAGTAATAGTTAATACTACATATTTTTAATATATCTAAATAAATTGATTTTTAGATTCGTTAAACGGTTCGCTTTTTAATATAGTTTTGGATTTGATTAAGATTAGATTCATTAAGTAATTTAATATAAATTTTCTATATTGTTTGAATAATTCTAAGATTTGGTTCGGTTTGATTTCTAATTGTTTTTTTTTTTTTTTTTTTTTTTTTTTTTTTTTTTTTTTTTTTATCAACAGCTTTATTGGATTGGCTCAAATTAGCCAATGTGTAAGAATATTTCTAATTGTTTTTTTTTTTGTTATCTATAATTTTAGAATCAGCCAAAAACAACAGCTTCACACATGATAATATTTTCTTTATTTTAATTTATTTATATTTTGAAGTTCTTTTGGAATGTTGTCTTTAAATCAGCAGATTTTCCTATTATTAATTTATCATATCATCAAATATTTTAGGTGTAACTTGACCGGCACTACCTTCAAATTTAAACTAAACATAAATTCTGAAATATTTATTTGCGATACAGCTAGATTAATATATATTTTTGTTTTTTTTTCACAAAATCACTGTAACGTCTGCTTCTTCAAAGTATTTAAAAATAGTAAATTCATTTCTTGTCTTGGTTTTAATTATGTACAAATGTATAAAACGTAGACTAATAAAACACTGATTAAAACGAGTAACTTTTGTCTTTAAGTGCTCCTAAGTCTTAAAGTTAACTAAGCCAGTTCTGTCTCTCTCCTCTCTCCTCTCTCCTCTCTCACATCTTCGAGAAGTTTCCGCCGGCGGGAGAGATCAAAGACAACAGTTGATCAGAAATCAGAGATCAGAGATATGAACATTCTCTTCTCTAGATTCTCCATTTTGCTTCTGTTTCTCTGTTCTTGGACCAGTTTCACCACAACAGGTTTGCTTCAATGTTCTGTCTGAAAGAAAAATAAAAGTTTGTCTTTTATACTTTTGTCTCTTTTTCATGTTGTGTTTATTCTGAGAAATCCATTGAAATTGACATTTGAAAACCTCTAACTCAATTTGATGATGATGATGGTTCTCTGGGGCTTCTCTAAATTTTAATGTTTATATTACCTTGTGAAATAGAAAAGTATTAATATTTTCTATTATCTTAACCAATTGATAAGAAAAAGGTCTTATTTTTGTGTTTCTTTATGGATTGGTTTTGTTTTTGGGTTATGAGTTCACCCATTTGAGATTATCTTCTAACACAGAGGCTTATGATGCACTTGATCCAACTGGAAACATTACTATAAAATGGGATATTATAAGCTGGACTGCTGATGGTTATTTGGTAAGAAATTTTTAAACTTTACTTACCAAAATCTCAATGTTATATGATAAATCTTGTTTCAAATGTTTCTTTAGTGATTACCACTAACCAATTATTGGCTTCAGGCTGTTGTAACAATATTTAATTTCCAACAATACCGTCACATTGAGGCGCCTGGGTGGCAATTAGGATGGAGTTGGTTGAAGAAGGAAGTGATATGGAGTATGGTTGGTGGGCAAGCAACAGAACAAGGAGATTGTTCTAAGTTTAAGGGTAACATTCCTCATTGCTGCAAGAAAACCCCGGCCATCGTTGATTTGTTACCGGGAACTCCTTATAACCAACAGATATCCAACTGTTGTAGAGGCGGTGTGATTAGCGCGTGGGCACAAGACCCTGCAACTGCGATTTCTTCGTTTCAGATTAGTGTTGGTCAATCTGGAACAACTAATACTACGGTTAGAGCACCTAGGAACATCACTTTGAAGGCACCAGGACCTGGTTACACTTGCGGGCCTGCAAAACTCGTTAAGCCTACTAAATTCATTTCTGCGGATGAACGAAGAAAGACTCAGGCCTTGCGTAAGTTTAGCTTTTGTGTTAGCATCTATAACGTTTACTTATAAGTTGTATTTTATTGCTTGTAATCCCACCTCTCTTGTTGTTTTTCTTTTGGCAGTGACATGGAACATTACTTGCACATATTCGCAGTTTCTAGCACGGAAAACTCCGACTTGTTGTGTCTCACTCTCAGCCTTCTACAATGAAACTATAATACCATGCCCAACTTGTTCTTGTGGATGTCAAAATAGTTCTCAAGCTGGTACATGTGTTGAGTAAGCTCCTATTCTCTAAGAAACTCCATCTTGGTTTTGTTTTTGTATCTCTTTTCTGATTCATTTCTTGTGACAGCCCGAAAATAGCTTCGGTTGTACCAGCTTCGGGGAAGAACAACCTTGAACCGCTCTTGCAATGTACGCAACATATGTGTCCCATCCGAGTTCATTGGCATGTAAAAACTAACTACAAAGAGTACTGGAGAGTGAAGGTCGCAATCACAAACTTTAACTACAATATGAACTACTCGCAGTGGAACTTAGTCGTTCAGCATCCCAACTTCGACAATCTCACTCAGCTTTTCAGCTTTAACTACAAACCGCTTAATCCTTACGCAAACATAAGTAAGTCCTTAGCTGCTTCTTTCTCGTTTCTCATTCGCGTTTCTTTCTCATGTTCGTAAGAAATGTTTAGGAACATAAGAAAGAAATGTGAATGAGAACTAATTTCATGTTTTGGATCATATATTGAAACGTAGTTAGATTGTGACATGGAGGCTTTTTTTTGGTAACTAATTTCATGTTTTGGATCATATATTGAAGATGATACGGCCATGCTATGGGGAATCAAGTTCTACAATGATTTTTTGAGCCAAGCTGGTCCAGTAGGCAATGTACAATCAGAGCTTCTCTTCCAAAAGAACCCGTTGGAGTTCACATTCGAGAAAGGATGGGCGTTTCCGAGGCGCATTTACTTCAACGGTGATAACTGCGTTATGCCACCTCCAGACTCTTATCCATGGCTTCCAAACGCTACTCCAAACCATGCAGCCTCGCCATTTGTTATACTTCTCATCACTTTCTTTTTTGTTTTAATTCTTATGTAAAGGGATCAAATCTACAAATCACTGTTGATCCAGTTTGGTGATGTTTACATTACAAGTCAGTGTGTTATTAGGAAATAATTGTATGCGAAACATCATTCTTTGTATCTGAAATATATAGATCAGTATTGTAGATATTTTTTCCTTATTTTGTGTATCCTCATTTAACACCTCCTATACGTTAATTGACAAGCGGAACATGTATGCAGTGCCGTGCCCAGGTTTATCGGGGCTTAAGGCGAGGTTGAATTTTGGGGCCTTTTCAATATTATTTTTCTTTAAATCAATTATATTATGACAAAAAAACATACATGTAAAAATAATTTTGAAACGATATATCAAACATAACATCTTGTCTTACTCATAGAACTTGTAAACAAAGATTTAGAAGCATTGGAACAAGATCCACAGTTGGAAAACAAATAGAGTGAGTATAAACAAAAAAATTAAGAACAAAAACAAGTTCGTCACTTTAAAAAAAAATAAAAAATCATCTATGAAATTATGAAAAGAAACAGAGGAAAGAGAATTTTGGAATCTCAATTACCTCTTCTTCTTTTTGGGTTTGATTATCAGCTTTGTTTTTCTACAGCCTCTCAAAAGAATCGAACCATGGTTATTCACAAAATACAGGGATCCTAAAACCACTCTGATACAACATATTTTTATTGATTTGGCGGCCTTTAAAAACTTATATATTTTGGGGGCCTGAAACAAATGCCTTTTTTTAACCTATAGGCACGGCCCTGAATGTATGTATTGTGACTTACCTAGTTATCTTCTTGATGGTTACTACACTGTCCATTTTCAAAAAGAATGCTCAGTTATCCGTCGGCGAATCTCTACTTTTTCATCTACTATCCTTTTCTTTTTTTTTTTTTTTTTTTTTTTTTTTTTTTTTTTTTTTTTTAAATTACTTTTTATATATATTAAATTCATCCCAAACTGGGCTTTGGCTTTTGGGCCAGCGAAATTACACGGATACAAAATAGGAAAAGCCCAAATCGAAGATTGACGGAAAAAGAAGATCTGATCCGGACGGTACACCGGAAAACACGAAATCTAACCTAGAAGACCGACGCTAACAAGGACGACTCCATAGCAACAGAGTATCCGACGACAAGCAATCAGCCGGAGTTAGCGGTTCTTGCCTCAAGCCATCGCCGGAAACACGCCACAACCGGAACATTCCTCTCGGAAAGGTAGATCTGCCACAACCGAGACCTCTCCTCTCTTCTCCCCTACCTAGCAAGAAGAGAGAACACAAATCTAACCCTTACCTCCTCCGTCAAGCACCCTCGAACCAACCCGAGCAAACCGAACTTCAGATCCGGCGAAGAGAAAGCCAAACACGGCGGCGGCAGATGGAAGAGGCTCAAACTATCCACAAACCACACAGATCCGGCCAAAGAAACCCGCATCTAGCCATCTAAGATCCTGCCAAAGATCTACCGTTAATCTCTTCGCAAAGTGATGAAACCCACCAATCCAAAGCCCAACTTCCGCCGCAAGCCAGAGCTACATCTCTGAAGCCACCGAGCCGAGAGAGACAGTCCCAGAACCGCCAGCGTCCTTGACCAGCAGAACGCAGGAACCGCACCTCCAAGCAGCCGAGAAGAAGAGCCACCAACTTGCATCGAGCAGAGGATCCAACCACACCACACATCACCGGAGAAGAAGGCGCCCACCACCGCTTCAAACCCTGACCCAGCCACCGGCGATGAAGAACATAAAGCTACGGCGGCTGCGACTCGAGAAAACCCTAGATCTAAAACAGAGGAGAGAAAAGAGAGAAAAGGAAAGGAACGATTGTCCTCCTTTTTTTTTTTTTTTTACTTCTTTAAAGGTTGCTACTTCACTATCCTTTTCTTATATGCATGATGACCTGACAAATGAAAAGTTATTTTCGGGCATTGAGACATGAGTTCTAAGAAAATGGATTCGAATAATCAACTAAACAAAATATCGATTCTACCGGATGTATTTCTGGTTTTGGTCTTCTCTCTTCACTTGTCATTTTAAAAAGTGTAACGATGAGTGTTTTCATTAAGCGCTGGAGGAATATCTGTTATGAAACCACTAACATTGTTTTTAAGAGAATTCTAATTTAATTGTTCCGTATGAAACAATATATTTTTGAAATTTTATATATCTTCATGTCTTTTTTATCATTTTAATACATATTTTTCTTAATTGTTTTTGAAACAATTGGTTCAATCTTATGCAAGGGGTAGTTTAGGAATAGTTGATATTTGTTCATAGAATTCATATATGGACAAATACTTAAATATTTATCCTTTATTTCCAATTTTCCTTTAAATTTATGATTCATTTTATTATTTAAGGATTATAAGAAAGTTGATTGTATATGCCTACCAACACAAAAGAAAAGAAAAAATCGACACATCAGCAATATTATAAACATTTTTTATAACTTTATTAGTGTTTGCTATCAATTCTCACTAGTTTGGTAATATTGAATATTTGGATTCACCCAATGATAAATTCTATACTAATGATGTTCCGATTTTTTATGTGTAAGATATGTGATGATGTTAATTTGTATTAAACAAAAAAATTAAAAAACAATGATTTAATATACCATAAGAAGAAATAAATTTCATTCACCACCTCCTTGACCAAATTTGAAACAAAAAGAGAAATAAATCTAAGAAAAATTAATGACCTACCTTTTTTTATTTAGAAAGCTGACTCTATCAAATATCAATACATTAGAATTATTCATTGATCTAAAGATTCAATTATGATTAACAAATGAGGGAGGATTGATACTGATTTCATACTAAAGACAAAATTCTTAGACAAAAAAAAAAAAAATTCTTGAGATCTTGACGATTCAGAAGCTCGTGGGTGTGGTCAAACTATCAGGTGCGTTGGTTGTTCTATTAGAAAATCAAAAAATCGTTTTGGTTTATCGTGTTGTCCACTTGGTTTTCTAGCCTGTTATACATTTGATATATGCAACATAATATTAGAAACAGTGTTGATCTTTACTTTTTCTTTTCTAACCACACATTGATAAAAAAAATCCCACTCCTTGATTGATAAACCAATTTAGAGAAAAATAATAAATAAAAAAGTCTCAAAGATCTAGTGATTCTTTTAGTTATGTACGTTACTTCCCACATGATGATTGGTGATCAAAATTGAATTCAACTTTTTATCAGTTATGGATTTTTGTATATAGCTGATAAAAATTTGATTACTTTCACCAATATATTTGATTTGTAGCTAAAATAAATTTAATAGCCAAATTTTGGAAAAACGATTTGAAAATTTTTGACAAGACAAAAAAAAAATTTGTTTTGCAAATTTGTGAAATTTTAGAATTTTATTTTAAATTAGGTTCTTAAAACAATTGGGAAATACTTATTTTATCAATGGCTGGTCATCAAAATACTTGTGGAAAGAGGGAATGAAATCGTTCTCTTTCTATTTCTCTCTCTTCTCTCTCCTGCGACACAAAAACTAGATCTAGGGTTTTCCTTTTTTTTTGCCTTTTGTGCTTCATTGCCGGCGATGGGTCAACACATGGAAGCAAGAGTGAGATCTTCCTCCTTTCCGGTAGTGATGTGGTGTGGAAGATCCGGTTCTCGATGCAATTAGGCGGCAGATTTCCGGTAGTTTTGGGATGGATTCCAGTTGATCCACGTTCTGGTTTAAGGACGCCAGACGAATCAACGAATCACGGATCTATCTTGTGGCTCAACTTGTCTGGTTCGATGTTGCGGTTGCGGGGGAAGTTGAGAAGCGGCTTGGTGGGGTTCACTGCTTGTTATGGCGATTAACGGCGGATCCTTCTGGATCTGGGATGGCTAAGCACGAAGTTCGGCTGGTGGGTGTTCGTATGACCCAGCGACCTTATCAGCGGTCGTGATTGGTATTCGCCTGACCGGTTTGAGGATGGCTAGATCTCAGGCGAGTTTCAAGAGTGAGTTCATTGGAAAGGAGGGTTAGTTTTCGCATTCTCTCTTCTTGCTAGGTTGGGGAGATGAGAGAAGGGGTCTCGGTTTTGGCGGATCTACCCTTTCTGAGAGGATTGTTCTAGGTTTGATTTATTTTCCGACGCTGATTTGCGGCGGAAGCGCTAACTCCAGTTAGGGCCTGGTGTCTGGAGCATGGTTGCAAAGGAGTGATCCTTGTTAGCGTCAGATCTAATGGGTGAGACTCGTTTTCCGGTGTACCGCTAGTTCTCAGATCTCTTTTTTGGTGGGCTCCGATTTGAGCTTTTCCTATTTTGTACCTGTGTAATTGTATTGGTCCATAAGCCAAAGCCCAAGTTTTGGGATGATTAATCAAATTTAACTTTGTTGAAAAAAGAAAAGAAAAAAAGAAATACCGATTATATCAATCGATTTTTGGTTCGTCCTACATATGTTATGTTTTGCTTTAAAGTTCTTTAAGAACTTACTGCAAAGCTAACAAGTATTTTTCTAAACTATTGGTGGAGGTCCAGGGAGAGTACTTGAGGCGTACATTGAGTGGCATGGATGAAATTGTGTAAATCAAAACATGAAAGGGGTAGGTTTTTGATATTTCAAAAAATTTAGTGATTGAAATAGTGGAGATGAATTCAATACCCAATTTTACTAGTAGCAAGGGTGCTGAAAGGGAGATACTACGTGAATGTTCACACTTTGTAGGCAAAAATAAACCCAAATTCATAGAAAAAGGAGAATAAATCGGTTTTGTGCTATATAGCTGTCCCTTGGATACCAAAATTTATTCCACGACGAGCAAATGGCAAAGGAAAATTTCTCCACCCTAACTTGATGAAAAATCATTTGATTAATCTGCCAAAAAAATATTGGCACTGACGTATCCTTCAAGAGTTTATGGTATCATACAAAATGTGAGAGATATACGGTTAAGTCAAGATATTGGTGAATTGAGACTATATATGTTTGAGGAGGTAGAGTGGAGCCTGAGATGTAGAGCATTAAAAACTTAAGCATAAAAAACTAGAGCTTTTTCGAAACTCAAACACTTTGTTTAATATATTGCATCGGCATCCTTAGCAGATACTTCAAGTCTGCAACAACGTGGAATAAGATGTGATATCACCTGTCAAAGGTCTGGGAAATCACAAGAAGCCATTCATCATGCCTTTTTTATGTCTCCATCCTC